GAAACGAGCCGTTCAGATGCACTGGCCACGGTGGATGACTGAGAGAAAGGAGTCCAAGACAATGCTGGATTTGGATCCCAAACAACCAGGTAAATAAAGTTGCCAGTTCCTGAGATGGTGAGGACTCCAAGAGGAACAGTGAGAGAGGGGAGGTGGTGTTTGTGGTGGAGGCAGGGAAGTGGTTGCTTCAGTAGGAGGGTGGTGGAGTCTCCTGTACAGGCAAAGGTGAGTGACAGCCTATGGGGCTGAGCAAAAGGAGAGGAAGGACTCGCTAGAGACAAAAGTGATGCTAAAGATTAACGATGTTTCTAACTAGTCTATGTGCAGTCCTTCGGTAGCTATGTCTAATTATTTTAACAGTAAAGACACTCAGATTGCTATTTTAAATGAACAAAGCTGGCCAGGCACAGTGGTTCACACCTGTAATCCCAGTACTTTGGGAGGCTGAGGCAGGTGGATCACTTGAGGTCAGGGATTTGAGACCAGCCTGGCCAATGTGGTGAAACCCCATCTCTGTTAAAGATACAAAAATTAGCTGGGTGTTGTGGCGCATGCCTGTGGTCCCAGTTACTCAGGAGGCTCAAGCATGAGAATTGCTTGAACCCAGGAGGCAAAAGTTGCAGTGAGCTGAGATCACACCACTGCACTCCAGCCTGGGTGTCAGAGTGAAACTCTGTCTCAAATAAATAAATAATAAACAAAGTCATCTTATTTTATTTAGTACACATCGTACATTCCTACCACACATTTTCAAAAATAGTGCCACTGTTTGGGCTCTGTCCTTGCTCAGCAAACCTTGTGCTCCAATTTAAAGGACAGCATGTCTCTTCACATATTTTTATAAATCTTTTCAAAGATGCTAATGAAATAAAAGCATACTCATTTTTTTAAAAAATCTAGAAATTTTAGGCTTAATGGATTTCCAAATAAAATCAGGAACTCGGAAGACAGTCTGTGCAGATTCTATTTTTGCTGACAATGCACAAGAGAAAGCAGCTCTATTTTATGGAATCTAATTAAATGACTACAAGGAAAAGCTAATGGGGTTGGTAACGGGCAGAAGTTTTTCCCTGTGAATACTGAGGGCTTCAGCTTTCTGGGACTCCATGGCACTCAGCCGGGTGATTAACTGAAGTGTGGGACCCACGTCACCAGCAAACGTGATCACAGCATCATGTGACCCTTTGTGCGTCAGGGAGTAATGTGTAATCTGAGCAATGCTCAGAGAGCGGGCTGTGAATAGTAAAGGGCATTCATATAACAGTGAGCCACACCGACTGCAGTCATTTATCTCAAGATTACGCCAATTTATTTAGATGCAGATGTCACAGACTGATTAAAAACTAGTCCATTGCACATATTCCATTTGCTGCTGAGATAAGAATTAATAGACACAAGCCAGATGACATCTATATAGGGGTGATGCCTCATCTGGGGAGCAAAGAGCGTGCTCAGTCGTTTTTCTGAATGCACAAATTAGCCCAAGGTGAACTTGCCCCCTCTTCTACTGCAAATGCTCAAATGAATGCCCATGCTTTCACCTCTTTTCACTACACTGTAGTATTAAACTATCAGGATTTTGTAGGCTTGTCCTAGTCATCAACTATGATGACTTTTAGAACAAATATTTAAGGATGCTCTCCACATCATCCATGGACCAGAGAATAGTTCTTGATTCCAGAAACAATGATAGGTTTTTTGATACTGAATCAGGCTTACATTCTGGGAATAAGTCCCAAAGGATCATAGGTGGAACCAATTGCTTTGGAACTGGGAGAACTGGGCAGGGCTTAGGGGTCAGGGTTGAGGACGTCATCAGCCCACAAGCTGCAGAGCCAGCAACTAAAAGTGAACCAGCAGAGAGCATCCAGGGACAAACGGTCCAACCAAGGAGTCAGCTCAAAGGCATAGGGCCAGAGGCAGAATCCAGGCACAGGGAATGAGTGGCAACCAGGCATTCCAGATGAGAATCGCAAAGGCCTCTGGGTAAGCTGTCCCTTATACAGCACTAACACATTACTGAATGTTATGAAATCTGCACAGGCCAAGTACAGTGGCTCATGCCTCTAATCCCAGCACTTTGGGAGGCCGAGGCGGGCAGATCCCTTGGGCTCAGGAGTTTGAGATAAGCCTGGGCAACAAGCCTTACCAAAAAAAAAAAAATTAGCCGGGTGTGGGCACGTGCCTGTAATTCCAGGTACTTCAGAGGCTGAGGTGAGAGGATAGTTTGAGCTCAGGAGTTCAAGACAAGCCTGGGCAACATGACGAAACCCTGTCTTTACCAAAAACACAAAAAGTTACCTGGGTGTGGTGGCATGCCTGTAATTTCAGCCACTCAAGAGGCTGAGGTGGGAGGGTTGCTTGAGCCTGGGAGGCAAAGTTTGCATTGAGCCATGATGGCACTACTGCACTCCAGCCTGGGCAACAGAGTGAGACCCCATGTCTAAAAAAAAATGTTTTGTTAATTAGCCAGCTGTAGCAGCACATACCTGTAGTCCTAGATACTCGAGAGGCTGAGATGGAAGGATCACCGGAGCCCAAGAGTTTGAGGCTACAGTGAGCTATGATTGCACCACTATACTCCAGTCTGGACAACAGAGTGAGATCCTATCTCAAAGTAAATAAATAGGCCAGGGGAGGCCAAGGCATGTGGATCACTTGAGGTCAGGGGTTCGAGACCAGCCTGGCCAACGTGGTGAAATCCTGTCTCTACTAAAAATACAAAAATTAGCTGGGCATGGTGGCAGGCACCTGTAATCCCAGCTACTCCAGAGGCTGAGACAGGAGAATCGCTTGAACCCGGGGGGTGGAGGTTGCAGTGAGCCTGAGATCATGCCACTGCACTCCAGCCTGGGTAACACAGCAAGACTCTGTCTCAATTTAAAAAAAAAAAAAAAGAATATCCAAATGTACCATAAATATATGAAAAGATGCTCATCCACATTAGTCATCAGGGAAATGCACATCAAAATCTGATTAAATAATGTTCCATATCCACTAGAGTGGCTAGAATTAAAAGGACTGACACAGGCATTACAGAAGCAGTGGTGCTCACATACACGGCTGGAGGGAGTGTCAATTGGCAAAACCACAATAGACAGCTTTTGGTGGTATCTACTAAGGTTGAACCTAAACATACCCTATAACTTGACCATTTCTCTCCAAGATCTCATTTACATCCAACAGAAATATGGGTCAAAAGCATCAAAATGTTTATAGCTGCTTTATTTGTAACAGCCAAAGACTGGCAAACACCTAAATGTTGGTCAACAGGGGAACAGATGAACAAATTATCATGAATTTCTACACAGGAATATGATGCATCAATAAAAAGGAACAAATTGCAATGCCATGGAACAACGCAGTTGAACCTCACAAAATATTAGACAGAATTAATGCATAATAGCAGAAATCAGGATGAGGGTATCTTTGAGAGGAGGGAAGAGCTGACAATGCAGAAGGCAACGCCAGCATTCTCAGGTGCTGGCGCTGTTCTGGTTTTACATAGATCGTGGTTCTACGGGTGTATGAGGATTCATGGAGCTGTGTACCCTTATGGTCTCTGTACTTCTATGCATGTTTGTTTTAGTTTAAGAATAATGTTTTAAATTTTTAAAAATTGGAAGAAGACTCATCAAGGGCGACTTCCGAGAGCCTATAGGAAAGCTCCAATGACCTCCAACTTCTTCCCTGTTTATTCAGGGGAGTCTTCAAATCTAACCACAGGATTCATTCCTTCACCTGGTCTTCATATAGGCAGCATACATTACTTCAACAAATATTTATAGAGGGCCTGTTGTGGGCCAGGCACTGGGCTGAAATTCAAAGATGAATACAACAGGTTTGTGAATTCTCAGGGAGTTCACAGCCTGAAAAAACAGCTGCTTTCTAATCCCGTACTCTGCTGAATGCTCTCTCATACATCATCTCATTTAATTCACATTTCATTTCATTCTCTCAGTAAGCCAGTCCATAAATCAGTAGCAGGGCTCTAATAAAACCTACTTCTTATGAACCGCGGGGCAGGCATCTTCCCTGTACACCAGGCTTGGTAATATGTATACCACAGTAGGTAGCCTTGCTAACCCACAGCAGACATCAATAATCTGCCAGGCACTCCTCTCCCTGGCTCTGACTCGACCTCACAATCCTCCCCCTCACAGCTCAATAGACAATCATTTTAGAACAATGGGGATTCACCCAGGGGATGCCACTAATCTTCTATTCTTGAATCAAAGCATCAACTACTTTTTTATACCTTTATCCCTCTTCATTTGAAAATATCCTTGGGAAGATCTATAACTTGTTCTTAGTTATTTGCCTCTGGTTATGAAAGGAGAATTTGAGAGTAAATTTGCAGGCAAGGGCTGAGAAGAAAGTATGCAATCCACGCAGGTCTAGAGTTTTAAGGGGACTTAGGCTAAATGATTAAGGCACTGCAAGAAACTTGCTTATACTACTATTTTGCCTGGAGTAGAAACTAGCCTTGGTGATAAATTGTAAGCTTATAAATTAATCTTAATGGGAATAAGGGACAGCTGAAATAGATCCTGAGATTATCAGTGTGAATTTCAGCTCACATTACATGCAAATAGTCTGTGGTGTTAAAAACTCAACTCCTGGTTCAGCAAAACTCCTGATCAGTTTTGAAGAAAGAGCACTTACTTCCTGTGTAGCCTACGCAACCGCCTATCTTTCGTTATCAATGCTGGTGACAGTGATCAAAATGACCCTTGTGCAACCTGAACCTGCCTGAGCGAGAAGCTGCTTCCTTCCTCTGACAACCATTCCAGAGAGAAAAGCTTTGCTGGAAAACAGTTCTTGGATCAGGGCATTTGTTCACACACCAAAGGTTAAAAAGTGAAGATGGCACACCTCGGTGTTTGTTTTATTGTGTGTATACAAATAGGGAAAATACTTCCCAAAAAATAAATAATAAACTCAGAAACATGTCAAGCCCTTACTTCTTGGCTTTAATTTTGGATTGCTATATTTTGCAGGTTTCTAACGCCTACTGATACAGAAAGGCTAAATTCCACCCTCAAGCCTGGACCCTCAGCCTTAAGTGAAAACAGCTGACCCTGATACAGAACGGCTGGGCTCCTGTCTAAATCCACCTTCAAGTCTGGACCCTCAGCCCTAAGCGAAAACAGCTGACCCTGTTGCCTTTGTGGCCCACCCCACCTCCTATCTTGTGCTTGCCTTTTTGCCCCACCCAATCCCCTATCCTTTGCCCATAAAAAGACTTCAGCTGGTGGAGCAAAAAGAGGTAGCTGATGCAAGTGTTTGGGGATGCAGGCTGCTGAACATCAGGGTTGCATGCAGCTGAGCATCCGAGACTAAGGATAGACTCGGCCAACTTCACATGGTGCAGCTTCAGGAAAAGATCACTTTCTTCCCATACCACCCCTTTACCAATTCCCCATCCCACTGATAGCCACTTTTATTGCCCAATAAACTCCTCCGCATACACTACCCTTCACAAAGTTCATGTGACCTGATTCTTCCTGGATGCCAGATAAGAACTCGGGTGTCAAGAAGAGGAGGTGCAGGAAGCTGTCGCCCTGAATCTTCACTGAACTGTTCGCCATCCACAGACTGCAGGCTGAGTGAAATGAGCCACTCCAATTCCTGCCCACACAGGGGGTCAAGGTCAAGGGAACAATCCTGTCTCAATACAACTATAGAATTTCTGGCTAGAAGTGCCATAGGAGAACTCCTCAAGAGAAAGAGGGACCCATCTGAAGAGACACCACATTGGGCCATCTTGCCTTCTTATTTCCAATCCAGAGATAGCCTCCTCTATATCCTCACCCCTCCCCTGATTTCCTAACCATAAACAACATGCATGCCCACACACACACACACACACACACACCCCACCCCTCTTAACAGCAGAACATATCTGAGTCATGGCACCAAAGTATGTTAGTGGCAATGAACACATATAGGTCTGCAACAACCTCAATTCTTGCCTCCTCAGAAGAAAGAATGTGACCGAGGAGTCATAAAGCAAATTTTAGAGCAGGAGCAAAAGTTTATTAAAAAGTTTTAGAGCAGGAATGAGAGGGAGGAAAGTACACTTGGAAGAGGGCAAAGCAGGTGACTTGTGAGATCAAGTGCCCCATTTGACCTTTGACTTGGGGTTTCATAGGTTGACATAATCCCAGGGATCTTGCATCTCTTCTCCCCTGATTCTTCCCTTGGGGGTGGGCTGTCCTCATGCACAGTGGCCTGCTAGCACTTGGGAGGGAGCATGCACAGATGGGGATTTTCTATTTTCTCAATTTCCTGGAAAGGAAATGTGGGGTTGGATATGTTACATTGGTAGCTAGTCAGACACGAGCAGAACAGGAGAGGATTCCTCCACCCCCACATGCACCAGGAATGTCAGGTGACCATCAGGTGTTTACTGGAGTTGTACACATGCTCACTCCGGGTGTTCTTCCTTTACCAGCCAAATGCTTCATTTTGCCTCCCAGTAAATGTACTTGAGCCCACTCTCCCTGTTCTGAGATCTTATTTGGAAGCTGCTGATCACCAGTTTCCGGTTTTTATCTAGTGGGAGACTGCCTTTCTCTGGCACCGACTATGACCAATTATTATTTTAGAGAGACCGTAACAACTGTCTGACCACTACTTATGGTCACCTGACACTCCTGGTGCGTGCAGGGGTGGGGAGCCCGCTCCTGTTCCACTTGCGTCTGACTAGCTACCTAATGTAACCCCACATTTCCTTTCCAGAAAATTTAGAAAACAGAAAATCCCCATCTTTAGCACCTTCCTCTTACTTTGCCCCCTCCTCTCTAATCCTCATTTCTCCCCAGCCCCAACCCCTACTCCTCTAAGACTGAACTTCAGAGCACTTCCTCCTCGTTAAGAAAAGAGGGAATTTGGTGAATTCCACCTATCTCTTCCATCTCTTCCAAAGTTATACACATTTTTTAAAAGAATGCAAATGCAGTTATTTACACATACACACACTCCATCCCCACCAGAAAGATAGCCTTGTAAGGGAGGAATTTTAGATTTAAGCAGAGAAGTTATTACTTTTATAGTGAGATGAGTGGGGAAACTTTCTACAAATTGTACCTACCATGATAGCCGTGGTCTACAGGGAAAACCATTTTCACACCCAACCTTGAGGCCTCTCTCTCTCTGTCACACACATACATATGCCTGTGCACGCGCGCACACACACACACACACACCTACTAAATAACTACTGTGAAGAACTTCTGAAATAGTGCAATAAGAACTTCTACAAACCTACACTTCCATAAAAACAATGAGAACACTAGCAAAAATTGTCACCAAATAAAACCCACAACTTTTTAAGAACTCTGGAAATTAACCAAAGGTGTCCAACTATCAGCAGGTCATTTATTCAAGAAAAATGGCTGAACCACAGAAAGAACAGTGAGCCTTGTGGTATTTTAACTCGCCCTATTCTCATCTCCTCCTGAGCTGCTCAGTAGCCTTGGAAACTAACAGCCTCACAACAATGATAGCTGTGAAAATCAGCAGTCTAGCAGCCACCGGAGGAGACAGATGGGTTTGGAGTCCTCCAAAAGCCTATCCGTAGAGAACTGTCACTGTTTGACCTGCCTGGCAGCATCCAGAAAATTCTTCTTCTCAGGGTTGTTTCTACATGGCCTAACTCAGAGCTCACTCTGTTCAAACAGCCCCATTCCCTGGACATTTGTTTAAGAAAAAGTGGACATTGTCTAACATGACAGCTCCTTCAGGTAGTAATACTACTAGGGGCTGGGCCAGAAAAACTTCTTTCTTTACTCTTTTCTTTGAGACGAGGTCTCGCTCTGTTGTCCAGGTTGGAGTATAGTGGCGTGATCATAGTTCACTGCAGGCTTGATCTCCCAGGCTCAAGTGATTCTCCCACCTCAGCCTCCCAAGCATCTAGGATTACAGGCACACACCGCCATGCCTAGTTTGGCTAAAAAAAAACTTTGTAGAAATCTGGGAAATGAGATGTCCATGGGGGCTTTGGAAATGCTCTGACATATTCTTGGGAATCTGGAAGACCATTTGCATGTGCAGCACTGTACACACCCCCAAGAAAGACCCAAAAAGGCCCTAATCTCTCACCTCTGGCTGCAGGTAAAGATGTCCACAAGCCAGAAGCAAAGGTAAGGCAGAGTTTAAACTGCCTGCCAACCAGGGAAAGCATGCCCTAACATACATGCATACATACGCATACACACAGAGTCCCTTGGCAAAGGCTCGGAGAGTTATTGTTTCATACATTCAAAGAAATCTCTGCCCAGGCTGAGGTGGGAAAATCACTTGAGCCCAGGACTTCAAGGATGCAGTGAGCTATGATCATGCCACTGCACTCCCATCTGGGTGACACTTTCTCTAAGAAAAGAAAAAAAGAAATCTCTCTCTAGTCATTAGCTCTCTGCCAAGTTAACCAAGCAGAGACTTCAGTGGCCATACATGAGAAAGATATAGACAGGAGACTGTGAACTGTCCTGGAGCCCAGTGTTGCTAAGGCTCAGGTGCAACAAAAGCTTCAGTTGCTCCCCAGGAATGAATGACCACAGGCTACTGCACTCAGGGCAGAGGGATAACCAAGGCACGGGCTACTGTTTTCAGGACTGAGGCACCATTTCAGAGCCCTGCTCCCAACAGATTATGCACTATCCTGGAGTCCTGCATTGCTGGCTGCTGCTCCCAGGACTCAACAATGAACATCAGTTATTGCACCTGGACGTGAGGACTGAACAAAGCATGCCTGCTGCAGCACAAGTGGCACACAATCCCCCACACATACCTAGGTGCCGCCACCGAAGACAGCACTGCCAACCCTGCAGTGACAGTGCAGCAGCATAGCCAGGCCACCAACCTGAGCATTCCACTGGTGGCCTGGTAATCATATCAGCACCTGTACACACCATCAGAGGCCTGTGGACAAGCCCACTCAGCCTGACTTCACCCCACCACCTGTGCCAGAACACACAGTCTGGATACCAGGGAATTGCGCAGCCCTGTGCCCTTGATCACATCGGGGTCACCTGGGTCTCACCACCTGCAGAAGTCTGACCTGCAGACCCTGACTCAACGACGGATGAATGAATGCCCTCTCACACCATTACAGTGTTTCAAAGGGGCTAGGGATGACCGTTTCAGAGGGTGAAATGCAATCAACCCAGACCCTCTGACCATTCACACTTTTATTCCCTCAAGATTTTACAACAAAGGTTCTAAAGTTAACAGACTTGTGGATAATTATCATGGTTAAGAGAATGGTTTCATGACTGGTAAAAGCTTTAAGTTCCAGGCCTAGAGTAAATACTATTAAGAGGTAATTCCCTTTGATCCTCCCTGGAGAGACCATCCAGCACAAAATTTGCATGAGTAAACAGAGTAGAGACAAATGGGTGTGGGGTAAGGCCTTTGATTGTCTCTATCTCTCCCTGACTGGACATAATGAACTGGCTGGCCACCTTCAGCCTGCCCCAATAAAACCTTTTTGTCTTCCAAAAGGTTTGACACTATAACCTATAACTTTCCCTAAATATTTTCTGTAATATTTTGCCTACCACCCCAAGTGAATAGCAACACATCCTAGTCCACACTACGGGCACCTGAGCATGCCTCCTGGGGGCCTGAAGTTGGGTCTACCCATCCAGTGCTACCAACACAGCTGGCACATACCTGCCCAACACTGCCTGCGGCACTGAAGACTGGCCCACACAGCTCATTGCAGTCACCACCAATACCAGCACACATTGCTTGGGACCCAGGGTGTCATCCCACCACTGCCACTGCTATTGCCCTGGCCACACAGGCCGCCAGGACCCATTGTACTTCCCAGTCCACTGCTGCCACTACTGGCATGTGAGTAGGCCAAACGGGAACCCAATAACTGGCCCACCTGAGGCCAGACATGGTGGCTCACGTCTGTAATCCCAGCACTTTGTGAGGCCGAGGCGGGTGGATCACGAGGTCAAGAGATCGAGACCATCCTGGTCAACATGGTGAAACCCCATCTCTACTAAAAATACAAAAATTACCTGGGCATGATGGTGCATGTCTGTAATCCCAGTTACTCGGCAGGCTGAGGCAGGAGAATTGCTTGAACCCAGGAGGCGGAGGTTGCAGTGAGCCGAGGTCATGCCATTGCACTCCAGCCTGGGTAACGACAGCGAAACTCCATCTCAAAAAAAAAAAAAAAAAAAAAAAGTTAAGAACCAAGCAAACCAAAAATTAGCAGGAAAAAAAACAGAGTAGAACTCAATGAAAAAGAGAACATTTCAATAAAATTAAAAGTTGGTTTTATAAATAATGGACAAAACTGATAAACCACTAGCTAGCCTAATAAGAAAGTCCCACATAAACAAAGTAAGAATGAAAAAGGAGATATGACAACCATGGAAGTGAAAGTGAGCTTTAGAAATGATGATTAATAACTATATGCTAACAAATTGGAAGCCCTAGAGGAAATGAAC